TACTCATCCTTTAAGATGCAGCTCAAATATCACCTCTGCCATGAATATTTTCTGATTTATTTATCATGCCACCTGCCTACCCAACCTCTTCGTTGAGACCATTTTATTTTCCTTTGCTTTCAATAGAACTTTTAAGGAACACATATTATAATTTTGCGTTTTTATTTGTCTTCATAAAAGACCATAAGCTTTACAAAAGCTAGAACTATGATTATTTGTCACCTATTAAGTTAGGCTCTGAGACAATATTGAGTTCAAAACAGCACTTGCAGGCATTTACACAAAGAAGAACAGAAGGTCCAAAAAGTATCCCATTTGAGATGTCAAGCAGTCTTCCCAATTCTCAGTAATACTGAAAAGTATAGCAAAGCACATTGCTACTACGTATATGAGGCAATCACTTGCGCATCATCTAGCCTTGAAGGCACAGGTCACATTAAGAGTTGATGGTTGTGTCTTTGGACATAAAGATTTATATTTTAATACTGTGTTCTTTTAATACTCCATCCCTATCTCTGCCCCACATATTATATTCTTAATACAATAACCAAAGTGATTTTAAAAAATGCCGATCATGTCATACATCTGCTGAAAACTGCTTAATGGCCTCTTATTTAATTCACAACAAACACAAAACCCTACATAACAGCCTATAAGTCCCTGCATGAGCTGACCTTTTAACTCACCTCACCAACTCAGTCTATTAGTCTCTATTGTTCATGCCCTACCAGCCACACTGCCCTCTACTCTGATGTTCTTTGAATATATCCAGTGCACTCCTACCTCAAAGGCCTTTGCATTTGCTGTTCCCGATGTCCAGAAAGTTCTCTCATATAGTCACATGACCTATTCCTCACTTTTCTCAGATGTCGCTTACTTGGCAACCTCCTTAGAACTTCTGTGACCACCCCTTTAAAATTCCAACCTCTCCCTATAAATCTTCCTCTCATTTTTATCTTTATTATTATCTGGCATCTTAAATATTGGTCTAATTTAAACGTTATTTTTCCTGTTCTCCAGAATATAAGTTCTATGAAAGCAGGTCATAGTAGGTGCTCAATAAACAAGTTTAAAATAAACGAATAAAACATTCTTTTAGTTAAAAATAAATAAAATGAGGTAGAGTACCCTGAGTTTTATATCTACATAGGTTCAAATGATGAAGTGCTCTTAATTTGATATAGTGGTCATCTTCTACCAATAAGCATAGAGTTAGAAGCTTGAAAACGGCAATTTGAGAATGGCTATACATTGACGTATACATTGTATAATAATGGTTCATGGTATCAGTGCCTAGGGAACTGTTCAAATTATGGGCAGGTTCTCAGACATCTAAACATGAGGAGTAGTGCCTCGTTCATCAAGGCTGCTGCAGCATGTTCCACTCAACCCTGACAAAGAAAAATTTCTATAAGGATCACCTGATATGAAGAGCATTTTTCAGAAATTAAGTTACAGAACTTCTATGAAGTTTTTCATTTGCTCCACATCCCAAAGCACTGAAACTGTATTTAGAATTCTGATTTCAGAAGATTTTGTGGTTTAGTAGAAATCACATAGATTTGGATCTGATACTACTTGACTAGCTATGAGTAACCAGGAGAATTACTAAACATTGTGTCTCAATTACCTCATTTATAAACCACATTTTTAGAATAGAATGGCATATTCTATAAAATGCACGTAGTACAGCCCTTGGTACTTGGACAATGAATGAGGCAGCACAGCTTTGGAGTCAGAAACACCTGAGTTCAAACCTTGAATCTGTCACTGATTTTGTGTATGAGCTTACTCTCTGAGGTTTGGTTTCTGTCCGTGTATGATGATAATTTTGCATTACATGTAGTTGTGAGTTATGGGAATAATGCACCTACCAAATTCCTGTGCGTAATAAGTACACATTAAAGAATAGACTTACCTATCAATTCTGTCCTATTGATTTCTATTAATTCTTTCAGGATATCCCAATAACTGATATTTATAGCATCTAATATACTTATATTTAATTTGTATTTAATATATTCATAGCAAGTAATTATAATATCATAAGTAGCCAGCTCATCAAGCCAACGAAAAATGTTCTTATGAAGTACCTAGAAAAGCAGGCTTTTCAATAAATATTTATTGGATTAATAAAATACATAGAGACTGTTCCATTTGTTGTATTTAAAGAAGCAGGAGACTATAAAAGTGCACATTAGGGAGAATTACTGTAATCCAGAGTTTAGAAACTAGATATTTGAGTTTCTAGATGCTTTCTACCAATTCAGGTATGTAGAGTTTCCAAACATTAATCAGAGCAAAAATTTTATTCACGTGAATATGTCATTTCTGGATAACTCCAGAAGACTGAGTTTGGATTTGAATGGGCAGATATTTCAGTCAAAAATTTGAGTTCACTAAAAGGAAGATGCATATACTCTGTTCTGACAAATCAATGATTTCTCATGGTTTATAATGTCTGTGACAAGCCTTGATGGCCATTGTCAGGGGTAGTCTATAAAGCATCCCCACAGGAAGTAAGAATTGGACTAGGTGAACTTAAATATCCTTTACAATGGTCCAAGTTTGATAATAAAGGGATTCTTTTATGTTTCATAGTAAATAAGACATATAAATGGCAATGAATGCAAAAATGGTCTTTAAAATTCAGGACTTATATGTAAAATCATTCTGCTTTATGTACATATCATGGACAATCAGCCTTAAATACAACTCACATGGCAATTAATGTGTTAAACTCGTGAATGGTATGTAACTCACATGTCTCTTCATCATGGGAGCTGCGAGAACTATTTGTCAAGTTGCATATAACTCACACAAAGAAAACAAAAATAAATTTTTTATTGGGATCATTTTGGTTTTGAAGTTTTTATTCTATTTTCATGATAAAACACTGTGGCCCCAAGGAAAAAGTTGTTTTTTCTAGTGTGGCAATCAATGTGTTAATGAAGTCAGCAATTTTGAATTTCGTCCTGTGTAAGATTGTGAATAAATCAATATATATATTGCTAAGCCTATAAAAACCATGTATTATCTGATTATGATATGATTTTTAATGTAAGTAAATTCTAAATTTCAAATATCAAGAAATATATTAGTCATGGAAATTTGAATGTAGCTGAAAAATAGGAACTATAAAAATCATGGGAAAGGAGAAGTACATTATACCAACAATATGAAAAAGAACCTTATAACTGAACATTGATGGATGCAGCATGTCAAAATGCTTTGGTAAAGATTTCCAAAGGAGGCAGATTATGGTGAGTTTCAAATTAGAAACAGAACATATCGAATGAGGAAAACCACTGATAAAAGAATTACTTCTCTGTCTTCTGAAGCCATTTGACTTGGAAAAACTATGGAAATCTTGTAGGTCCTTTCCTGCCAAGTGAGTTATGGTGGAATTAAAAAAGCAATTTCACCTCAGATTTGTGAAATGGAAAATACTTTAATACTAAATCAACAACTTAATTCATTGCAATATGCTATAACATTTTATGACATGTGTTTATTCCTATGATATCGTGAAAATTTAGGAGAATTTTCCTACCCTGATTGCATTTTTATATTTCTAATAGCCCTTGTTAAGTTGAGGGATCTTTCTTAAGACTATCCCAAGAACTGGGAATTTATAAATTTAATAACCTTCCAGAATGCACTGTTTGAATTTGGACCAACAACATTTTGGGTTTTTAGTTATACCATAGGCTAGAAAAAAAAGGCATAAAAATTCAAAGCGCTCCACATTTGGAATCAGTAATCTTGGGTTCCAGTGATGAATGTTTAGTTGTCAGTGCCAAAATGAGGTGAAGACTCCCACTGATTCACTCACTATCCAGTGTGCACCTACTGGCTCTTCCTTGTGACCTAAGGCAGGTCTTTAAAATTTCTTTTCCTTATTCAACTTGCAATTTTCTCATTACCACCAACCATTTCTCCAACATTCACCAAGATCTAGCTCCCTCTGTATATCCATTATTTTTCTACTTGCTATCTTTGTAACACTACTTTTGTGAAAAATGAGTTCAAAGCCCACATCGCCATCAATGATCTGCTTTCCCTAATGGCTTTAAGCCCCGGCCTGCTCTCTGTATCCAGCCAGCTCCCTTGACTTGCGTTCTTTTATCCAGTAACTTCCTCGGACTATTCTATGCATGTGCTTTAAATGCTGCCTATCCTTCCATCTCTAAAAGCTGCCAAGTCATTCTACTGCCATCATTTAGGTTGGCAGTGCCCAACCATTTTGGCACCAGGGACAGGTTTCACGGAAGACAATTTTTCCATGGATGGGGTGGGGGGTGGAGGGGATGGCAAGTGATGGGGAGCGGCTGTAAATACAGATGAAGCTTCACTCACTTGCCCGCTGCTCACCTCCTGCTGCGTAGCCCAGTTCCTAGCAGGACACAGACCAGTACTAGTCTGTGCCCATAGGCTGGGGACTGTAGATCTAGGTGATTGCAGAATTATAATCTGTAAGCAAATCTAAATTTTCTTAAAAGGTTGAAGGAGCTGATGCATTTCCTTTGTTCCCAGTAGACAAGAAGCCTTGTGTCAATGTATAATATATGATTTAAAAGCTTTATTATACAACCAGTTTAATGTTGCAGCAGCTGTTATTTTAATCATATTTTCACATGTCCAAGATAAGTGTTAATGGTTATTAAGTTTGCTATTTCCCTATAATATTGTCTTGGTTGATATAATTTAAGACTATCATTTTGACAACATGACATGAAAATCATGACACTATAAATACCTCCTAAAAAAAAAAAATTCAGTTTCCAGCATCCAAATTATTGATTCTCATATATACGTATAAAGTTTTTACATATGTATATAAAATCTATTTAAATTTTATATGTATATAAATCACATATAATTAACATTTTAAATAAGATGTATAATACATTTCATTTTAAGCACCCAAATAAATCATCTATTTACTGATCATACATTATTACAAGACACCATGGTGTGAATGTGCAGCTGTGAATTACCTCCTCTTTTCTTGTTTCACGTCCTTTCTGTACAAACCAGATGACCTTGGCTTGCAAAGATCGTGGGGTGCATTCCAGCAAAGTACTGTTGTTCTCTATGCCGTAAGCCAGCCGCTCTTCAGTCTTATCCAAAGCATCCCCTACAACAGGAATGTTAACATCAGCCTTGAGACTTTGATTTTCCTGGTAAATAATCATTTAGATCCCTGCAAAAACTCATTACTTTTTGTTAATTTCTATGCAGGGTCATTTAAAGGAGTTATTTAGAGAGAATAGCATACCAAAATCTAGACATTAAAAAGGTAAGTAGGCTATGGGGCTTGAGTTTGGTTCCAAAGGACAAGATAGGACAGAAAGAAGCATCAATGTTAAACTCATGGAAAAATCAATGGCAACTGCTATTGATAAAGCAGAGAAGGAAAGGTGAGCACCAAATGTTCAGGCAAGGCAAAGACCAAATTAATGACCACAAACAAAAGCAGAAATCAAAAATCTAGGCACAATGGCACTACATAAACTTATGTGTGAATGATATATTGACCAAGGATTGCAGCTATCCAGGCGTTGGGCTTCTGTAGTAAGGAGAGAGTAGGAAACTGAACTAACAGCTTTGTGAAATAGAACTTCTTGATTATAATTTATGTCTTAGACCAGAAAGTCTTTCACTGCATTTGAACTCAAATTTGCATACAGACAAGTATACTTAGCTGCAGTGGCGAATAAAATCAAATTGAATTATTCTTTTTGTTTTGACTAAGACAAATTCAGTAACTGGAATCCCAGGATTTTTTTTTCCTATGCCTGAATCCTTCTCACCTTTAAAACTGAATCCTAAAGTTCCCTAAGATTAAGGTCCTGGCTTTTCTTGTCAGTGTTTCCAGATCCTTCAGTCCTGCACTGAATCCTGAGTCAGTCTGGGGTCTAGCAAACTGATGCTGGACCACAACCTCTGGATCTGTGTATAACCACCACTGGTCTCTCAATTATTGCACCCCCTCTTGTTACTTCCTGGTGAACCCACTGTCACTAAACACAGCCTGTTTACCAACCACCATCATAGTGTGAAGAGTCAGGAGAGTGCTTTTCTGTCCTAACCTCCTTACACTTGCCTCAATCTGAAATTTCCTCTCATCCTTTGGCCATCAGACCACCTAGCATTTGTCCTACATCACCAACCCCAGCATTATACTTATCCAACTTCAGTAAAAGAGCAAGAATTTTTTACTTTATACCAAAGCTTAGTAGGTGACTTGATACAAGTTATATCATTTGATAAAATCACCGTAAGTTATATAACATGGTGAAGATATTCCCAAGTATGAAATAAAAAGATAAATCCTACAAGTCATTATGGTATTAACTACCTAAAGGAGGCAGCGTTCTTGTTCTAGGATTCCTTTGGTTTGAGGTCTAATATTAAAGCTTGGATGGTGGTATATAAAACTTATTTTCCTAATTATGTAAGAATTACATGTCAAACATACAAAACTTTAACTACATGCAAGGAAAAAAGAATACTTTCAGTTACATTGTTCTAGTATACATAAATCACAAAAGAAACGGACTCCTTTTAAGAAGCTTGCAGATTGTCATCAATGTACACTCTAAGTAAACCATAACGATTGATTTTATGTGGATTACCAATAAACTGCTGTCCAAAGCATTGCTGAGCTGCGTTTCCATGCCGAACATCCTGTCTGCGAAACCGCCTGAAAGAAAGTAAATGCATTTAGGAGATGTTTGTATTTCAATTTTCCAGACTTTAAAATACAGCCAACTGCATTAGAGATTCAAGTAGTATTCTGCTCTTGAAAAAACTGATCAGTTATATGAAACAAGGATTAATTTAAGTTTCATAGTTTTTCACATTTCCATTGAATGTTCTTTAATAGATCTTCATAACGCTGTTTTTTAAATGTTTATATACTTTTTGAATTCTGGATCCCCAAGCAACAATTTAATAAGTTTCTCTTTATATTTTGTCTAAAATTTAGTTCAAGAAGTCTTCTGGTTTGAAATGAATGTCTTGGGTGGTAAGGAATTTGCACAGATAAAGACAATGGGATTTGAGGTAGAATATTGTGTACAAAATATTTGAGTATAAAACTTATACATAATAAAGTACACATGAGAAAATATTTGAATCAAATATTTTGTTCTATGGCCATAAGAATCAATTAATACAAATATAGTTGCTAATAAAAAGATAAACTAATTATATACTGTACTCAGCTTATTCTTTAGATATAACATTTAGAAAGTATATACTTCGTTTCAAAGTGATGGTGTATTATACATGTTTAACAGGATTTTGTGCATTAGTGGGACTCAAGAAATACTAGGTTTTTTCCTACAATTTGCCTATTAAAATTAGGAACATTTCAAGTATATTTTTTATATTTAATAGATTATTTAGATATATAACTAAAAATACAATATTCTATATCTATGAAACAGATTTCCATGATATATATCATGTTGTAAATTTGTATGCATATTTCAGAAATTAAACAAGGGGAATTATCATTATTAGAATTCTAAAATCAAGATCTCTAGCATACTTACTTTAGAGATAAAAATAGAAGTATTACGTAAAGGTGGAAAATACCACTTCTCTAAATCATGGCATTTCTTCAAGATTCAAGGAAAAACAGAAGGCAAAGCAGAAGTTTTACCCTAGAGGGTGATGGTGCAGCTTCCAAAGTGACAATGAGATGCTTTAACCATATGCAATGATAAAATTTGGAAAAGTGAACCAGATTCAAATCCTAATGCCACCACTAACTTTCTGTATGATCTCATGCATATTTCTTCCCTTTTCTGGCTCTTTGTGTCCTCCTTTGTAAAATGAAGTTGGCTAAATGACACCTAAAATCTATTGCAGCCTCATTTCTTTTTTCTTTTCATTCTAGGGTTTCCTCACTGTCTCTAAATAATAATGGAATGTTATCACAAGAGATGAAGTACTTTATCGCATAGAAGTTCAGATCTTATTTAACAACGAAACAGATATCTAAAGCTAGGCAGATGAACATTTTCAATCAATTTCTAGGATTATGACCTATGTACAAAGTAAGTTTTAGTTGTTTTTTTTCTTTATTTAATGTGAGATTGCTGATTAGAAAATCTTACCTAAAGACCAGGGATTTTACAAAGTTAAGATTAAAATTGCCACATGGATCATTCTATTAAATTACATTAAAAATAGAATTTATGAAAAAAGTAGCAAGCAAAAGCTTCATGCTTTTATATTATTTTATAATAGCATGTACGGCTATTATTCAACTGATAGCAGATTTAGGTGAGAATTAAACTGCTGTTAATTCCTCACTTTGTTGAAACTTGCTTGAGTATTGAGAATCTAAAACCAGCCTAGCAATAATGAATAATGCACAGGGTAAATCAATGAAATGAGAAATGGTTTCCATTTTGCTGAGATGGAGTTACATCAAGATTATTATATAACTGATGTGAGAATAAAGGGGCCTGAAATCAAATAATTCTAGATAAGCAACGTGAATAAATTGAGTGCAAAAAATTATTGGAAACATGCATTTAAAAAAAATCCAGAAAGGTTTCAGTTCATTTTCATCTTGACATACTTATCCTTTATTTCAGCATTAAATACGTATATACAGACACATATATATTAGGATCAAGAGTTTGAGAAAGGCTGAGCAAAATTGACTTTCATTCTCAAAGTTGCATATTTTCTTATATCTCTAGCCTCTTAAAAACTTTTTAAGAGAACACTGAAAATAGACAAAATACAAGAGCAAGGGAGAAGAAAAAAAAGATCTAGCTTTATAAATTGTAGTGTATTTTGGACAACCATTTTACACAAGTGGTTTGGATTGTGAATTAATGTTTTTCCCCTGTTGACTCATTTTCACTCCGTGAACAGAAAGGTATTTATTTTAATGACCAGTTTTCAATTTCTGCTTCTATTCAGGTCTGAAGCAAAAACGATCTGCTATAAAAGCAAACTACTTTCCCTTCATGTACTGGAACTTATCCAAAAAGTTCCCCTCCAGGAGTGAGCGATGGTTCAAAAGAATTCTACACCATTGAAAGATCTCCATTACACGTCACTGAACTGAGCTCATTCATTTATAGAACATGGCTGCTGACTCTGGCATTTCATGTCTTCCTGTCTACTATTTTGTTCACATAACTTTTTCTAAGTAATTCTTTATGTCTACCTCTTTTAAATACATTATCAAGGTTGTGGCTGCACACTCTTAAAAGATGCACCATATACCAAAAAATAGCTATGGAGACAGCTCAGTTAAAATTCATCATCACTACTGCATGTCTAATAAAAAACCTTGTTATTCATAAGCATTGGTGCAAAGCTTGCAAACATTTTTATTATTACCAATGACAATAAAATAATTTTATTGGTAAAATTACCTTTCCATCTTCATATTTTGCTGCTTTACTTCTGACCCATGGAACCGCATTGTTTTTCCTAAGTATTATATGCCTTTGCACAGACAATTAATTCCTCTTAACTGGAATTTCCTTATATCTCTACCTTTTGAGAATGAGCTCAGAGGTTGGATTATTTTGAGAATTAAAGCATTATGTTCATTGCACTTACTCCAGTACTTAATACATAGTAAGTGCTCAATAATCTACTACTGTATTTATAATTCTATTCTTCAGGTTCTGATTTCCTGTATGCAGAAGGTTATGATTTTTCTTCATAAACCTTGCACATGGTCCAGTAATTGGCTTAGGTGAATAAATCAATATTTTAAAATAATACAACTATATTTTTCAATTGTTTTCAAATATCAAGCATTTGTACAAAATCAATTAATTTGCTCAATTCTTAAATACAGTTGGTATTATAACAAATTTAGTTCAGAAATGTCCTCTCAAAGCATCCTTTCACTATTTTCTGTTATGTCCTTCTTGAAATAGTCACTGGATTATTAATTTAGCTCAGGTAAAATTAACAAAAGTTTTGAAATAGTGAAGTTTTTAATGAAACTCTACTATATATGTGAACCTATAACAACTACACTAAATTGGGTTAAATTAGATTCTGAAAAAGGTTTAAAGAAAAATAACCCAAAGTGAAGTAGTAATAATAATTGAAATTGATACAAACTGCTTTTCAGTAGGGATATTTTATATAGTTCTATGTTTTGTTTTATTTTGTCTTTGGTCATTTTATCACAAGAAAAAAATACTTTTCTATAAGGAATAAAAATGTTTTTCCTAATATATTTTCCTAAAGTATGCACAACTGCATATGTCTTAAATGAAGAGATATCCTTATTCTTCAAAATACTTTCTGCACCTTAAGATCTCTGTTTAAAGAATACTGGGCTTTACCTTCTGTAAGAAACGGCAATGACCTTACAGAATTGTAGACATTGGAGTTTGGAGGTCTTTTAAGTACCTTTCATTTGTGTTGAATTAAATCACACATTTCATTAATTATACAGGTCATGCATTTGCCTAGGAGTTAAAATATTCACTTTCAAAATGAAATAAATGAAGACCAGCTGGTAGAGAGGACATGGGGCAAATGCAGGATGTATTTTAGAATTTATTTATTTATTTTCCTTTTAAGTCTTTGAATCCCTTATGTATGGTGGCTTGCCATTTCCACACTTTTATCTGAACTCGTTTCATGTCTTGCAGCAAAAGTTTCAAAAGGGGGAAAAGTTGATTCAAACCTGGGTGGAAAAATAAAAGCCCAACAGCATGTTCAGCTCCAGTCTTTGTACACAATAATTGAGTTGTTTCTGAAATACCTCTATCAAGTTTTCAATGCATATATTGTGAACAAAATATGACTATGATTTAAGTAAAAATAGCATGGTTATTGTTATGGAAAGGGTTCAAAAAAGAAAAAGACCAAAAAAAGCAGTAGGGTTCTTTTTAAACAATGGAAATAATTCCATCACGTATCACATCTCACCTTTTCGCATGTGTGCCTGTTGGGTAATACCGGGAGCAGGATATGCCATCCCAGGCACAGTAAGGGTCTCGAGCCAGGCAGCAGTCAGCACAAGCAGTTCCATACATGTCACAGTGATGGAATCTGACTTGAGCCACGGCAGAAGCAGATCCAATATACAGCTGTTGCTACAGAAATCAGAAAGAGGCCACTAGCAGAAATGGAACATTCACTGAGCTCTAACATCTAGATTTTGCCATTTATACACAATCACCTCAAGCAAATATTTACCTAAATTACTACAGTTGCTCAGGGTAGATGATGGAACATTGATACTTTTGTTTCTCCCAAATTTGAAATGTTTGTAGACTTAAATGCAGAGGTACCAAGATTACTAGACTGAACTTGCTAAAAACTCAAGGAGATGTGTATTCTTTTGTTCATTATCTTGCATTATCTAACACTGTTGGTCTTCCTCTAAAGATTTATAGGAACATCAAATAAGAGATTGGAAAAGTAAATGGCCTTTTAAATATTGATGTAACTTTTAGAAGAGTGATGTAGATATATATAGAATGACATGGAATAAACTAAAATAAGTTAAGTGAAAAAGACAAGCAGCAGAATATTTAATATCATATGTTCCTGTCTGCCTAAATATGAAATGTTATTTATAAATAACTTTGAGGCAATATACACAACAATTTTTTCTGGAGAAGTTTACATCTAAAACTGATTGCAGTGAAGTGGAAGAGAAACATGTTTCATGGCACACTCTTGAATTATCATTGTTACCATTATTTTGCACAAACATTCACAAAAAATAATTAGGGAACCATGTGCTATCATGATTGGAAATAAAACTACCCATATCTTTCTATAGACAAAATGGAAACATCTATTAAATGTAAATCACCATATAATTGTGTCAACCAATTAATGAGCATAAAGTTTCAAACAAGATGAATAAGCTCTAGAGATCTGCTGTTTAGCACTGTACCTATAGTCAACAATAATGTACACTTAACATGAAACCTACCTATCCTCTTAACAGCTCTTAAGTGTTCTTACTATAATAAAATAATAAAAGAAGAATAAAACTAACTTGTTCATATATAAGCACATGTTCTTATATCCTTTGACCTTAACTCACATATAGAACACACATACACACACACTACTTACTCTCTTTGAAGAAATCTCCATAGAAATAATAGGAACTGGATCCTGAAATTAAAAAAAAAAAAATTCCTTTTTAAGGAGGAAAAGAATCTTTAATATCATTATAAATCCCTGAAAACAAATTAGATATGTGAGTGGTTCTGTGGCAAACAGCCTACGGCTTTCATTATAGTAAATAAATATGCAAATACCATTAAATTAAAATATAGCTTTCAATTTTTTTCCTAATAGAATGGAACAGATATGTAGATCAGAAAAGCAGTGAGTAATCTAGCTAACTTACTGGTTGTCTCTGGAGTATAGTTTTTCTATTTGCATTTGAATATTGTGCTTTGGAAACTGAAATATCTTTAAATAATAAACTAAATATGTTCTTTCTTATAAAGTAATTGAACCATTAGAAGTGAGACAGATGTGTCTTTAGGTAGGTGTTATTTTATAGATGTTAAAACTAGAGTATCCCTAAGGAGTGCAATAAACTCAGATGAATTCTGCAAGTGGAGAAACACAAGGCAGGTTGAAATCCACTCGGGAGATGATTATCCATGGAAGAATTATTTTTTAAAAGAGAACATTTGATCCTCTATGTCAGTGGATTTTTAAAAAAACATTTTTAAACTGCAGAATCTTTATGCATGCACACATTCATTCATTTATTCAGGCAAAAATGTTTCTTAAGGGTTTATATGAACAAAACATGGGTGGTGGGTGCTGTTAATTTGAGACCTGTGGTCCCTAACATGAAAATAAAATCTTTTTTGCTATTTTGTTTGCCAGGAAAAAAAAAATATATTACAGAAAGCATAGCTGCTCTAGCATATTAGGAGGGTGGTCAGCTTTGGGTGTGGCTCTGGGGAATCTGATCTCCATGACAGCCAAGACAAAATGCATTACTTTTCATTCATAAAATCTTTTCACAGATAACCATTACATTCATATACAGCCAATCCTTGTTGTTTGTAGATTTTGCATTTGCAAATTTGTCTACTTGCTAAAATTAATTTGTAACCCAAATATCTATACTTGTTTGCATTGTTTATTCATGGACATATACTTGCTAAGAACAGCAAAAAATTTGAGTCAGAAGACATGCACATTCCCAGCTGACATGGAACAAGGTAACACTCTGCCTTCTTGTTTCAGCTTTCATAGTGTAAACGTGGGTCCTTTCCATGGACCATTTAGTGCCATGTTTGTTGCATTTCTGTGCTTTTTATTGGTGTTTTGTTCTTTAAAATGGCCCCCAAATGTAGTGCTGAATTGCTGTTTAGTGTTCCTAAACTCAAAAAGGCTGTGATGTGCTTTAATGAAGAAAATACTTTTTTAGATAAGCTTCATTCAAGCATGAGTTATACTGCTGTTGGCTGTGAGTTCAATGTTGATTAATTAACACTATATACTAAATAAGATGTCTTTAAACACA